CGGCGACGTGGGCGTGGCGACACACGGGCTCCACATCGAGCCGCATCGTCGAGGCATCGACGATGCGGCACAATCCTACACCCCCATCTTCTCGGACCCCATCTCGGAGGCCTAGAGTGTAGGCTGGATTGTAAAGCAGAAACAACCACCCTCACCACAAGCACCTCGACAAGCGAAGCCGTACCGTAAACGCACCCATGGACGGCACGAGCATGGCAAGGCTGTTTAATAAACGCGTAAGCCCGACGCAGAAACGCCAATGATGGGGGTCCGGGTGTGTCTTCCTCCCTTGATGGATGTGTCGACGGTACCCGTGATACCAGACGTGTAGGACACGCCGAGCTAATGACGTGCGTCGCGCAGACCACTATGCAGCATGAGACGAGGCCCAATAAGGCCGACAATGAACCTGCTATCAGAAAACGGACGTGGATGTAGCGTAACCGTCAGTTCACCAGGATGTGCAGGCACACAGAGGCCGCCCAGTATGTCGGGCCTATGCTCTGTCAATCGCTTACTTGTCACGAACGGGGAGTGCCTGGTAACCGCCTGGCAGCCTATTCAACGTTCTCATCTCGCGCATTCTGATGTGTGTCATTCACAACGCTGGATTGGGATGTGTTCGATGTTCAGCTCTTCAGCGTACGCTTGGTCTTACCACCGTACTGTGAGAAGAAGCGCGTCTGCCACTGGAAGGAGGGTGTGGGCGCAGGTTGGTCGACACCGCTGACCGCTCACTGGTTGTTGGTGGCCCTGCAGAGCGCATTGTTTTATGCAGTTAGTCGTCCGCGGAGACCCCGTGCGCGAGTGGCCCCCACCGCAGGCTCGGAAGGAGCCCCTGGAAACAAATCCCCATACTGCTCCTCCCCCTTCTCATCATGTTTGTCCCTTTGACCACGATGGGAAGCATCGCCTCCGGAAGTTCACATAACCAGAAACCAGGATGGGCGAACTGCCCTATTTTCGGGGAAGCGTTTCCCACATCTCGTTTTCGAAGGGGCCCCAGGACACACAAATCAATACACACAAATAAAACTATTCCCCATATTTTCCCATCTGTTCGGGGTTTTTGTCTTCCCCCCCACTTCCCATATTTTCCAATATTTTCCTGGGGATCGGCGATTAGTTGTGTCCGTGCCTCGCAGACTCAAATCTGATCTGAAATCTATCCGTCTTGCCCCCCACGCGCTGGGAGCGTGGACTCGGCGTTGCTAGCCCTCAGCTCCGAGGCATGGCCCGAGCGGCCTTCGGAAAAAAAAAACAATGAATGATACGACATCTGATTATTGCGTATCCTGCCTCCCCGCCCTCACGGAAAGATGGTAATAATGATTATCCCGCCTACCATCCCCTACTGCCGCCTAATTGATGTGGTCTATGTGCAAGCCGTGCCCACAGTTTATGCGTGTTTGCCAGGCCCCTGTAATTAGTGATACGTACGTCGGGCACGCACCTCGTGGCCCTGAGTATCACCGCGGCGGGGGCGGCCTTGAGTTCCTCGTAGGCCTTCTGGTTCTCCATCTCCTGTTTCTGCGCGTCGGACAAGTCCGCCTCGGGGGGGGGGGGGGGGCGGCGGGCGGCGAGCCGGGCGAGGGGGGCGCAGAGGGTGCCCTGGGCCTTCCTGGAGGGCCAAAACGATAGCACCAGGACGTCGACGCCCTAAGTCCCGCCGAGGTCCGAGGCAGTCCAGACAGATCCATAGGTCTGGAGTGCTACTTGGCACTCTGGAAGGTCAGGGGAGCGGGGGCGAAGGGAGCGCAGAGGGTGGCATGCGCGCAGCGGGCCCGGAGGGAAACGAGTCCTTGACACTGGCAGAGGGTGGCACGCGCGCAGCGGGCCCGCAGGGAAACGAGCCCTTGACCCTGGCGCTCTCGCCCAGGACCCGCTGGCCGTCGTGCAGCCCAGGGGCCCGCGCAGGGCCTGTAGCAGAGGCCCCCGACAAGGGGGGGGAGTGCTGGAGGCCGCCTAGGTGGGGCCGCAGTGCCCTGACCTTCCAGAGTGCTAGAAAATTCGCCAGCCCAACGGGCCAGAGGCGCGCTAAGATCTCCGGTAACTGGTTAATGAAGGGAAACGATTTTTTATATAAAAAATTTTGGGGCGGACGATTTACAGCGTTGTTTCGCGGGCCCCTCGCCCCCGCAATAGCGGGGGGGCAGGGCAGGCAGACGGGGGGCTGACAATTCCGGGTTGCCTGGAAGACCAGGGGGCGGGGGCGCGGGGTGGCGATCCAGGGCGCGGGGGCCACGGGGGTGGACGGGGGGATTTTTCAGGGTGGGCTCGTCCTCCTCCTCCGCCTCCTCTTCGTCCTCCTCCTCCTCCTCCTCCTCCTCCTCCTCGTCCTCGTCCTCCTCCTTTTCCTCCTTTTCCTCCTCCTCCTCCTCCTCGTCCTTCTCCTGCTCGTCCTCCTCCTCCTCCTCCTCCTTTTTCACCGCTTCCTCCTCCTCCTCCTCGTTTTCTTCCTGGTCGTCCTCCTCTGCCCCCCCCCCGTCCGCAAGGACGAGGGCGGCCCTCTCGCTGTCTCGCCTCCCTTTCCTCCTCGTCGCCGCGCGCCGCAGTCCGCAGCCAGTCAGGCAGGCTGGTGCTCCGTTGGCCTCCAGAGGAGACAGGGCTTTGATCTGCAACGCCATGATATGCAATGTTATGTTCGGGGCCGCTGTGCGATGCCGTGCTTTGCGTTGCAAGGATTTGCGATGCAATTCTTCACTACGCCACGCCACGCCATGCTGTGACATACTACGCTTTGCGGTACTCTTCAACGCCGTGCCACGCCGCGCACTACAATGCATCGCGTACCCTTTCGGGGTCATTGCCCTGCTCGACATCCGACTGTGCGAGTAGAGAGGGGATCTACGCCATGGTAAGGGATGGGAGGGAGGGGTAGGCTGTCATATATGACGCGAGCGCACCTAGCTTGTCCTCCCCCCTCCTCCTCTTCCTCCTCCTCCTCCTCCTCCTCCTCCTCCTCCTCCTCCTCCTCATCCCCCACCTCCCAATCGCCGCGGCCGTCCGCAAGGACGACCGACGGCCGTCCGCAAGGACGAGGGTGATCAAGCGCCTCTTCGAAAACCCCTTCCCTCAACTACTCCCTAATTACCCCGCTCCCCCTCCACCATCCTCCCCCCGCGGCCGCGGGTGATCAAGCGAGCGAAGGAGGACGAATAGAAAATCATTCCCCCAAAAGGGGCAAAAGCAAACGCCGGGGGGCGGACAATTAAAATTAGCCTGGCGAAGAACCCAACCATATGCAGTAGTGGATACCGCAACTGTGTATTTCGTCTTCGGTGGAGCTCCCTGTGGGGCCACGATCCTCGTGAGGGGTGTGCCGAAATGGGGCGGGGCCGCCATGCGAACCCTGCCACTGAGGCCTTCGGTGGGCTCCCTGTGGGGCCACGATCCTCGTGAGGGGTGTGCCGAAATGCGGGGCCGCCATGCGAACCCTGCCACTGAGGCCTTCGGTAGAGCTCCCTGTGGGGCCACGATCCTCGTGAGGGGTGTGCCGAAATGTGGCGGGGCCGCCATGCGAACCCTGCCACTGAGGCCTTCGGTGGAGCTCCCTGTGGGGCCACGATCCTCGTGAGGGGTGTGCCGAAATGGGGGGGGGGCCGCCATGCGAACCCTGCCACTGAGGCCTTCGGTGGAGCTCCCTGTGGGGCCACGATCCTCGTGAGGGGTGTGCCGAAATTGGGCGGGGCCGCCATGCGAACGCTGCCACTGAGGCCTTCGGTGGAGCTCCCTATGGGGCCACGATCACGTGAGGGTGTGCCGAAATGGGGGGGGCCCGCATGCGAACCCTGCACTGGGCCTTCGGTGGAGCTCCCTGTGGGGCCACGATCCCGTGAGGGGTGTTTTGCGGGGGGGGGGCCGCCCCCCCCCGAAATGGGGCGGGGCCGCCATGCGAACCCTGCCACTGAGGCCTTCGGTGGAGCTCCCTGTGGGGCCACGATCCTCGTGAGGGGTGTGCCGAAATGGGGCGGGGCCGCCATGCAACCCTGCCACCGAGGCCTTCGGTGGGGCTCCCTGTGGGGCCACGATCCTCGTGAGGGGTGTGCCGAAATGGGGCGGGGCCGCTATGCGAACCCTGCCACTGGGGCCTTCGGTGGAGCTCCCTATGGGGCCACGAACCGTGTGAGGGGTGCGCCAAAATGGGGCGGGGCCGCCATGTGAACCCTGCCATTGGGGCCTTCGGTGGAGCTCCCTATGGGGCCACGAACCGTGTGAGGGTGCGCCAAAATGGGGCGGGGCCGCCATGCGAACCCTGCCACTGGGGCCTTCGGTGGAGCTCCCTACTCGGGCCTTATGATGATGATGGTGATGATGATGATGCTGATGATGATGATGATGATGATGACGGTGATGATGATGACGACGGCGACGATGATGATGATGATGATGATGATGATGATGGAGGAGGGGGAGGAGGAGGAGAGGAGTGAGGACGCGGGCGCTGTCTCTTCAAAACGAGGACCCAACACCACAGGATGGTTGGGAAAAACAGTTTCCGGCGGCTGAATTCTATTAGTCCGCCCCACTCAATCATTTTGGGGGGTCCGGGGGGGGGGGCGACTTTTTTAATCGTTTCCCTCCATTAACAATATGTCTAGTTCGCGCGCGCGGAGCGGCCCCTGGGGCCCCCAGACGAAAAATACCCCGGCAAGGTCCTGGGAGAAGCCACCAGAGCACTCCAGGGGAGGTCCATTTTTCGACACCCCTCACGAGGATCGTGGCCTCCGAAGCCAAGAGGCCGCCAAAAGCCCCACCAGAGGCCCTGGGGGCCCCTCTAAGACGCCGCCAAGGAGCCCCAAAAGACTCCCAAGAGGTCCCCAAGAGGCCCCTTAGAGGCTCTAAAGAGGGCTCCAGGGCCGGCGGAATGAGCGAAACGATTAAATAACATAGAGTACCAGACCTTAACCTGAGTACCAGAGTACCCTGACCTTCCAGAATACCCAGACCTTGACCAGACGACCCTGACCTTCCAGAGTACCCTGACCTTCCAGAGAGGCCCCAAAGGGGCGAGAATACTAGAGACCGCCTAGATGGGGCCACAGTGCCCTGACCTTCCAGGAGGCTAGACCTATAGATCCATCTGGTGTTACTTTCTGGCCCTCCTGGAAGGCCAGGGTAGTAGATGGGGTCAGAGGATCGCGCCGCATCGCCGATGCATCGGCGATGCACAGGCAACCTCGGCGATGCACCAGCGACGTCGGCGTGGAGAAAATCAGGCTCCGCGCTGCGCCGCATCGGCGATGCCTCGGCGCTGCGGCGCGAGCCTCCGACCCAAGCCGCGCCGACCCCATCTGGGACGCCTAATTCATACACAGGGCCCGTCTCCCCCAGGATTAGGTCGGGCATGTCCCCCTACAGGCTGATGTTGGAGAAATCCAAAATAATCAAACTTATTCAGAAGCAGTCAAACAATAAAAAGCAGATCGTCACCAGCCTATCTTTTGACAATTCTGAATCTCCCCCCTGGAAAATAGGGATACGCACGACGTATCCCCAGGACCTGCCTGCTCCACGTCGAGGGGAGGGGCCGCTGCGGGCGGCGGCGGCGGCCCAGCCCACGGGAGGGGGAGCGCAGGCTCGAGGACCGCCGCAGGAGGCCCTATTCGACCTGGCGCGGGCAGAGGAAGCATCCGAGAGAGGCCACGGGGCTCATTTCGGCGAAGGACAAGACGCCCTTTATCAAACCTCCCCTTGGTGAAAACGGCCCAAGACCGAAACCGACGGACCCGGACCCGCAAGCATGACGGCCCCCGATGCCCTCTCGCGCACCGAACACGGCCAAGTCCTTGATTGACGTGTCATGGTAGGAGGAGGACGAGGAGGAGGAGGAGGAGGAGGAGGAGGAGGAGGAGGAGGAAGAGCAGGAGAAGGACGAGGAGAGGGAGGAGGAGGAGGAGGAGGAGGAGGAGGAGGAGTGAGGAGGAGGAGAGGAGGAGGGGGAGGGGGAAGGGGAAGGAGGAGAGGAGGAGGAGGAGAGATGAGGAGGAGGAGGAGGAGGAGGAGCAGCAGAGAGGAGGAGGAGGATGAGGGGAGGAGGAGGAGGGGGAGGGGGAGGGGAAGGGGGAGGGGGAGGGGAGGGGGAGGGGGAGGGGAGGGGGAGGGGGAGGGGAGGGGGAGGAGGAGGAGGAGGAGGAGGTAGGAGGAGGAGGGAGGAGGAGGAGGAGGAGGAGGAGGAGGAGGAGGAGGAGGAGGAGGAGGAGGAGGAGGAGAGGCGGAGCCGGAGGAGGAGGCGGAGGCGGAGGAGGAGGAGGAGGACGAGGAGGAGGAGCAGGAGGGGAGGACGAGGAGGAGGAGGACGAGGACAAGGAGGAGGAGGAGGGAGACGACAAGGGAGGGAGGAGGAGGAGGAGGAAGGAGGAGGAGGGGGAGGAGGAGGAGGAGGAGGAGGAGGAGGACGAGGACGAGGAGGAGGAGGGGGGGGGAGGAGGAGGAGGAGGAGGAGGAGGAGGAGGAGGAGGAGGAGGAGGAGGAGGAGAGGAGGAGGAGGAGGAGAGGAGAGGAGGAGGAGGAGGAGGAGGAGGGGAGGAGGAGGAGGAGGAGAGAGGAGGAGGAGGAGGAGAGAGGAGGAGGAGGAGGAGGAGGAGGGGAGAGGAGGAGGAGGAGGAGAGGAGGAGAAGGAGGAGGAAGAGGAGGAGGGGGAGGGGAGGGGGGGAGGAGGGGGAGGGGGGAGGGGGAGGGGAGGAGGAGGAGGAGGAGGAGGAGGAGGAGGAGGAGGAGGAGGAGGAGGAGGAGGGAGAGAGGAGGAGGAGAGGAGGAGGAGGAGGAGCCGATCACTCAGGGGCAGCGTGGCACGCGCGGGACGAGCTGTGCGACCAGCCACAGGGGTGGCGTGGCACTGGGCACCCCCGACTCCGGGGAGCGGGCCGGCGGAGGAGGAGGAGGAGGAGGAGGAGGAGGAGGAGGAGCAGCAGAAGGAGGAGGAGGAGGTAAAGGAGGAGGAGGAGGAGGAGGAGGAGGAGGAGGAGGAGGAGGAGGAGGAGGAGGAGGAGGATGGTGATGATGTGGAGGAGCCGCGGGCGCGTCGGGCCTGCCGCCCTACTCTTGGAGAGGGCGCGCCCTGTCCGTCGCAGTGGCGGGCGACAGGCAAGGATGCAAGGGTCAAGTCGGGCCTGTCCCCCTACAGGGGGATCTTGGACGAAAAACAGACCGTGGAGAATATGCAAAAGTGGTCCACAAAACCTCCCCAGACTATCTTTTGACTATGTTTGAATATTCCTCCTGTAGAGGGACAGGCCCGACTTAACGCAAGGGCAACCTTGCTGAAACACTGCGTCCGTACCACTGTCCTTGTGCCAAGCGCGCAACACATTCCCGACGCGCCCGAGGCGAAGGGTCGGACTGAGTGGGAGGCGCGGGGCCTCGCCCTGCGCGCCCTCCGTGCCGCGACAGAGCCCGTGCAAGTCCCTGCGATCTGCAAGAGCAGGGACCGGCAGTGCGTGAGCCCCAGAAGCCGTGCCGAGGCAATCAACGATGGCGCACACGTCGGTTGGAAGAAGTAGGTAAAAGCATGAAGTAGGAAGGCGGATTAGGTTGATTGGGTCCAGGCGCCCCCAGGGCATAACAAAACACCGTAGAAGCGTGTCGATTCTTGAAGTAGGAAGGCGTTTGAAGTAGATTGGGATGTGGGAATCCAAAAATACCTACTTGCAGCGACCGGCGTGTATTTGCCAACTCTGGGCCCTCCGCCGCCGCCGCCTCCCCTCCTCGCCTTTCGCCCGTGCACGGCGCCGCCCTGTGCCGCACCGTCGACGCGCGCTGACGCTTCGAAGGGCGCCCGCGAGCATGCCGCGCAGAGGGTGCCTCGAAGGTCTCCTTCATTTGCTTCAGGATGCCGAAGATCTCGCCAGACTGGGGCGCGTAGGACTGAGAGCCGCTCTTTGAATCGCCCCCTCTGCCACGCGCTCGCCCTCCTCATGGAGCCCGCCCGCCTCGCCCTGCCTCGGGGAAAGGCTTGCGCGCTGGGGGCACGAGTCGGGCGAAGCGCGCGAGGGTAGCAAAGACGGGGTTCGCAGAACAACTCACGTGGCTGGTTCATCTGACACCTCCTGGCGCCAGAGGTGCCAGTGTATCGAGGAGAGCGCCTGGCGGCAGGGCCGAATGCAGCCGATGTCCTACCGCCGCCCCTGGTACCGCTGAACACCAATTCGCAAGGCCAGAGGTACGCTTCCCGTCGGAAACAACCGTCCCACAACGGCCGCAGAAGACGCTGGACGAATCGAGGGCAGCGCGGCTGAAGACCTCAGCTTGGAACAAATCACGGTTTCGTCACCAACAAAACTTCCATTTGCGAACTCCTCCCATCCTTCGCCGTTTGAAAAAGGGACCGACCGTCCCGGCATTCCTGTAGGCCTTCCACGAAATGTTCTCAGAACCCAGAAATGTTCGAAGAACCATATTATTATAACAAAAAGCCCGATGTGTTAAAACAAGACAGGCTCAGTCAGTAATGGTCTAAACAAATGTCGCGCAAAGCAACACAATCGTTTAGCATTCTTCGGCAGGCCTATAGGCGAGCCAAAACGTTTCGCCACTGCTTGAGCCAACCCTGTACCCAAACCTACGCGCCGGCCTGATCTCATCCCGCCGACCCCAGCCTGGGGCAGATCCTCAGGCTCGGGAGCCTCGCGGGGCTCGGGGCCGCCAGGGGCCTCAGGGCCTCGGGAACTCCTGGTAGGCTTCCGTTGGATCCTCGCGGTCCTGGCTGCGGGGCCTTCCCTTTGAACTCCCACTCGGTTGTGGTTCCTACTTCTACTTGGGTCCCCGTGCAATGTGTTTTTATAGTTATATATATATATATATATATATATATATATAAAGAAACGTATTTATGCATACAGCCCATATGTATCACAGTCCAAGAAAAGCCCCGGAACCAGCTCCAGAGCTGGGCTTGCGAGCAGCTGCTTTGGGATCCAGCTCCCGCTCCAAGGCGCAAGCTCCCAACACAATCGATGAACACGTCAGCAGGCGTGAGCGTACAAACCATCAACTCCGAAAATGTTGCATTTCCCGTGCTTTGGGTACACTTGCGCGGTCACGGGTCCGAGCGCTGATGAATGTTTTCTTATTGAGCGTTTCTGCATTGGGCGAATGGGGGGGGAGGGGGGGGTCTGGCCCCGGACCTCTGCTAAATGCGACTGTTTGCAACAATGCGTCCTATGGAGGACCCCACACGCCTGAAACAGGCGCCAAAAAAACACCCAAACCTAGTCCACAGGGGGGGCGGGGGGGGGGGAGGAGGGTGCGAAGGCCCGCGCCGATCGGCAAAACAAGAAAAGAGAAAACGATCACCAGAAAATCTGCTCCTTGGGCTCCAAGTAAGGCGGGGAAGACCCATTCGGGCGACGGAAACAGGCCTCGCAAAAACTCCCCACCCATGTCGCAGCCCCACCCCTTGACCCTGTTGGTTCCCCTCCCGTGGAACTCGTTAACCCATGCCCCCCACACGCACAGCAATGTGGGGAGCTTCTGCGCCCATGACGATGAAACCAAACCTGCGGCCAGTGCCCACCGCACACCCAGGATCTCCAGGTCCTCCGCAATCTTTTCGTCCAGCAACCTTTTCGCACGATGCATCAAAACTTCAAGGGCCCCTCCAGAAGATGGGCACGCACCGCCCTGCTTCAGTTTCACGACGCAACAACGCCTGCCAATCTGAAGCCCGCCTAAAACCGCGGACAACAACCTCCTGAACGAGAGCTGGCAACGCACATCGCAAGTCCGGTCCAGCTCCACTTGACGATCCGCGACCGTGCAAACGCCCGAAGGAAAAAAAAAAAGGCCGATCCCACGGAGGCCGAGGACTGCGATCTCTGCCGGGGGGCTGCAGTCCTCCAGGGCGCCGGCGCTGACTCCGGGTGTCCCAGAAGCTCTCTCCCAACGCTTCTCCCAAACCTGATGTTTCGGAAACGACCCCCAGACCGCAGACACCCAAGGACAAACGACCGCCCCCAAGCTCAGAAGACAACGGGTCCGTCCTGACCCCTTCGGAAGAACTGTGCGGACGGAGCCCTCCGACGGATCCCTTGGGGACCTTCGCGAGGCACAGGACGAGCGAGGAAGATAAGAGGACGAAGGAGGAGGGAGGAGGGGGCGGATGATGACGACGAGGACGGGGGGGAAGAGGTCCCACGCCCCCGACGTCACAGGGTTTGCGTGGCGTGCCCCCGCCCACCATCTTCAAAACTGCCGACCGCTTCCCCCGAGTGACGGTCGGCCCAACGACCGCCGGGCGCGCCGCCCAGGAACCCGCGACGAGATGGCGGCCGCCAGCCCGCCGTGGCCTCCCGCCGCGACGCCGACAAGTCGGGGGCGGGGGCGGCGCAACGATGACGAAGGGGAGCAGGCGGCCGAGCATGACGACGACAAGGAAGGCGGGCTCCCACCTGGAAGTTGGGCGCCCGAGTTATCCGGGGTAACTCGGGTCCGGGGTAACTCGGGTTTGGATTCCCGGAAAAAGAACCCGAGTTAGCCCTGACCCGAGTTACCCCTGATGATGTGGGGCTCTGGACGCCCGAATTATCCGGGGTAACTCGGGTCCGGGGTAAGTCGGGTTCGGAATCCCGAAAAACGAACCCGAGTTAGCCCTGACCCGAGTTACCCCTGATGATTCGGGGCTCTCAGGAAGGTCGAGCTCGCCTTGCTCGCCTGGCTGCTGCCGCGCCGAGGTCCTTGCCCCGGCATCCCGTCGGCAGATCACCCTAAGCCTTCCCAAGATGACGACGAGGGCGGAGAGGAGGAGGTGGATGATAACGAGGAGGTGCCCCAAATCCCTTATTCATCGTCCCCCGGGTCCGGCTTTTAAGGCGCCTTTTCCGTAACACGGGGGTCCGGCTTATGAGGGCGACTTCTTTGGATTGGAGCTTAGGGGTCCGGGTTACGAAGGCGCCCCGTCGAAGAGGGGGGTTCGAATACTAGGCCGCATTTGGAGGGGGGGTCGGTTTTTTTTTGGGGGGGGGGTCGATGAATGATGAGGGATTTGGAGTGGAAGACTTCGGGTTCTGCGCACAGCCAGGCCCCCAGAGCAGTCCCTGGCCATCGCTCGGACGCCCATTCCCGGTGTTTTTGTTTCGGTTTCGTGCGTGGTTTTTTGGCCAAATGATCCAGGATGCTCCTCGATGGTCCTCGCCGAAGCACAAATGCACACGTCCGAGCGATGCCGAGGTCTTGGCTGGCCTCGGCGGGCACACCTCCTGGAGCAGCCCGGGGCGGACTCTCGGCCCCGGCGCCGCCCCCCCCCCCGGCGCAGCCCCTCCGGGGGCGCCCTCTGCGCCCTGCAGGGTCGCAAAGGGCCCTCGAAGCAGGACGCTGCGGACCATGACTCCGATGCATCGTGGAGGCCAACCCTGAAGGGGGCCCTGGGGCACGCATGAATAAATAGACCCAGATACCAGGACTCCCCATTTTTCCCTAAATTTTCTGGGTTGTTGCCCTCCCCCCCAAATCTATTTCTTTTTTGTTTCCCATGTTTTCCTGGGAATCGACGATGAATTGTGTCTGTGTGTTTTTTCCCTCCTGAAGCCTGGAGAGAAGGGAGGATGGACAGCCTTCGCGTCCGGAGTTTCCTCGGGGCGCGCCAGCGTCCTGGCTTATCAGGACGTCCCCTCTCAGTGAGCACAAACTTTCGGAAATGTGTTCGGATCTCTTGGATGTCAACTGCACCCCCCCTCCGTGGCCGGCTCCGGAAGCGGAACCAGGGGGTTCCAGCACATATCAAAGAAACCCGCGCGGACCTCCAGAAGCTGGTGTTTATGCGGTTGTTTTCTTCGATCGACGCTGGAGGAAAAAGAGGCCTGCTTGAACGTGGGCGACGCGTCGAAGTAGTCCCCAGGGGCCTGCAGGAAGGCGTCGATGGCCCTCCGCTCGCTGGGCGAGAAGGCACCTCGAGGGGACACCCTCGTCGTCGTCGTCGCCGCTGCAAACGCCGCCGCCGTCATCGTCGTCGTCGACGTCGTCGTCGTCGTCCTCGTCGTCGTTGTCGTCGTAGTCGTCGTCGTCGTCGTCGTCGTCGTCGTCGTCGTCGTCGTCGTGGTCGTCGTCGTGGTCGTCGTGGTCGTCGTGGTCGTCGTGGTCGTCGTGGTCGTCGTTGTCGTCATCGTCGTCGTTACCGTCGTCATCGTCATCGCCGTCAACGTCGCGGTCGTCGTCGTCCCCGCCGTCCCCGCCGCCGCGACGTCGTCGTCGTCGTCGATTGTCGGAGGGTTGTGGATCGAGGTATGAGAGTGTTTGTTTCGGGGGGCCGTTCTAAGTCTCGTCGATGGGCACCCCCCAATTGTCGATCCGATCGATATGGGGACTGAAGAAATGGAGACGCAGCTCCATAACGAGTCTTGTCCGCTTTGGACAGGACTCCCTGCCAGCTGCCGCCGCGGACGTTGTCAGGTTCAGACAGAAGGGTCGCATGCTCAACAACGGCCGCCGTCGGCTTATGGCAGTGCTTGCTGTCGGGCAGCATGCCAAGTAAGAGTCCCGTGCCCATGTCATTGAAGGGGACCTGCGACACACACATGAATAGACCCAAATAACAGGATTCCCAGTTTTTCCAATCTTTTCTGGGTTTTTGTCTTCCCCCCCACTTCCTATAGTTTCCCATATTTTCCTGGGACTCGACGATGAAGTGTGTCTGTGTTTTTCCCCTCCTGAGTCACTGCAGAGGTGCCAACCAACCCATCGCCACGCCACGGCCCCGGCTCCAACCCGGCGCGGCGGCGAGCGTGAGGGGCCGTAAGCAGGAGAAGGCCATCTCAGAAGGCTCGCAGGCCCCCGGCGTTCTGAGACATCTCCTGGGCCGTCTCCCGAAGGTGCACAGAACCTCCCAGAAGGCCGGACCTCCCCCTGCCCCTCCCCTTTCCCCCCCTCCCCCTCCCCCTCCTCCTCCTCCTACCCCCTCCCCCTCCTCCTCCTCCCTCCTCCTCCTCCTCCTCCTCCTCCTCCTCCTCCTCCTCCTCCGTTCCCCACCTCGCTCGCCGCCGATCCTGGTCCAGAGCGCGCTCGCAGCACGGGCCCAAGCGCGCCGACTTCGAAGGAGGGGGGTGGCACACTTCCGGGCGCCGTGGACGGAGCGACGGTGGGCGCCGCCCCCTCTTCTCGGCGGTGGACAGACCTCCCTATAGTAGACCTCCCCTCAGTGAAAACGGCCTGGGACCGAAACCGACGGACCTGGACCCGCAAAATGACGGCCACGACGCCCTCTCGCGAACCGAAAACGGCCAATTCCTTAATCGACGTGTCAGGGTAGGAGGTCTGTCCATCCCCGATCTTCGGCCTTTCGGGTCGGACGAAGGGGGGGCCAGCACTTGGTTAAGGGGCGGCGCGGCGAACCAGCTCACGCCACTGAGTCTCCCGCTCGCCCATCGCTCGGGCGTCCACTCCCCGTGCACTTGTCGGGGTCGTGCGCGCATGTTCTCGCAAAGGAGACCCAAGATTTGAGTCGGGCCTGTCCCCCCACAGGCCGATTTTGGACGAGCCATAAAACAGAGTCAAAAAAAGTACCCCAAAAGATCCCAAAATGGTTTTAATAAATCGTCCCCAGGCTATCTCATTGGACGCCCGAAATGGGTACGGAAAGAATGGGTACAATGCCGAACAGCAAACGTTGTCCCAAACCAACAGCGGCCGCTGTTGGGCAGGCGGCCTTCTGTCTCGAATGGACACCGGCCGCGGCGGCGTGGACAGCAGTTCCTGCTCAAAATGATCAGGAACTGCTGTTGGGCGTTGTGCCCCTTCTTTCCGTACCCATCTCGTTTGTGCAGAATTTGTGAATATTCCCCCTTTAGAGGGACAGGCCCGGCTTGACGCAAAATGCTCATGAATGCCCATGGACGGACAATAAGAACAAACATAGTCAAAACAAGTACCCCAAACTATTCACAAATTGTTATTAACAGATCGTCCCCAGACTATTTTTTTGAATACCCCCCCTGTAGATGGACAGGCCCGGCTCAACGCAAGATGCTCGTGAATGCTCCCCCCCTTCCGGCGCTGGCCTCGCCGAGCAAGCATGCACACACACGCCCAGGCGATGCCAAAGAGCTACTCGGGGAGGCGTACAGGGCAGTGTTTAACACATATGATGGTTTACAATATCGGATTTTAGTACATGATGAATTTATGAATAAATTGTTGCATGAACTCGTCGTTGTTTTTGATGCTAAATCCCTGGATTTTTAATACATGCTCCGCACGCGGAGCATGTATTAAAAACGGCACTGTAGCGAACCTTCCGCCCACGCGGCTGACTCTCCGGGCGCCGATGAGTCGGCGGTGGACAGAACGCACTTCAGTAAACCTCCCCTCAGTGAAAACGGCCTGGGACCGACACCGACGGACGTGACCCACAAAAATGACGGCCGCGACGCCGTCCCGCGAACCGAGAACGGCCAATTCGCTAATCGACGTGTCAGGGTAGGAGGTCTGTCCACCCCCGAATGAGATGCAGGCATTTGGCGCCGTCTTCGAGCCATCTGAGGGCATCTTGGGCTCCTCTACAGTGGGACTTGATTGGAGAGGGCACGCGAGAGGACACAAGACCCTTCCGAAGGCCACGTTGGCGCAGAACTGCAGGAGGCATGGGTCGCAAGACATAGGACACGAGGGTACCCTTGAGCTGGCAGGGTCGACCTACCAATCCGGGCCGCCTGTAGCGAATCAGCTCACGCGGCTGACTCTCCTGGCGCCGATGAGATGCAGGCATCTGGAGGCCGTCTTCGAGCCATCCGAGGGCATCTTGGACTCCTCTACCTCCACTGTCTTCGCCGTCGCTGCCTATACAGGGTCGGCGGCATCGGCCGCGCGGCTGTCTCGCATCGGCGCTGGGGCCCCCTGGCGGCGCATCCGGCGCCGCCCCGGGGAGGCGGGCCCAACGCCGATCCGAGAAATCCGCGCGGACCTCCGAATCTTTCTGCTTGTGTCGTTGCCCGTTCCCCTACGATCATGTTGCTCCCAGCGTACTTGAGGACCACATCCCAGAAATCATCCCGAGCACCCAGAAAAGTGCCG